AGAGATTGAAAACAGTTTGAGTTTTTGGTAGAAAAAAGTCAACATTGCCACAAAGAGAATTTTAGCAGCGGTGATAGGAAAGGCTCAGAAAGGACAGAGGGCAGCTCGAGATCATTTCCTTCTTCGAGGATACTGTATCTTCACGCATAGGACGCGAGCTATTCTGAAGAGACCTCAGCTGGAAATGAAGAGGATCTGAAGCTGCAAGAAAGGCAGGGCTTGTACCCTGGCACAGAACCCAGCGGAATGTGCTTCGGTCCCAGCGTTTTGCGGGAGGTGGAATGACTGAGGCAGAGGGAGGTGGCCCCCGCGTGTGCTGACGGAGCCAGGACCAGTGGAGATGGGTGGAACCAGAGCCGTGCTCTTCAGAGTGCTGCTGCTTCCTTTACACAAGGGCAGACAGTGTGGGGACACGCCGTCTAGGCCTGCAGATTGGGGCTAATGGGCCAGAAAACACGACTCTGTCAAGCCTGGCCCATGAATAGATGTCACCTTTCCCAGTTCTCTAGGCCTCACTCCCAACAAATAATAGCCTTGTTTGAGTGTTGCCGTTTTAGGAAGCTAGAAAGCTGTGGTACCTAGATACTGCTCCTCTTCCAAGGACTGGAGAGAAATCAAATTACAGCGTGGAAAGGGATATGTTTTGTTGTCTGCAGAGTGGGATATGGATATCATGCTCCTCCCCCTGCTCGGGGCACAGTGTCTGACCCACACATCCTCAGAATGAATTAGCTTCTGAAAGGAGAAAAAATCAAACATGTACACACACACACACACACACACACACACACACACAGTGTGCATATGTTAATTAGGCTGGCCGCTTTGTACGTGCACTATCTGTGCTAGAGAAATGCTCAAATGACACGTTCTCTGAATATAGCCAGATACTCTATGGATCCAAGTGGATCCATAGAGTTCTGTGGAATAACCTGAGAAATGCCAGTACTTAAGAAATGTTTGTGATTAATACTGATTACGGTGCCTCTCGGTTTACTTGAGGTTTTTATGGGACAGACTCTCTCTCTTCGGGTCCAGATGGAGCAACTGATAGGAACTGCTGACTTTTAGTTCTGTAGAGCACTGTTTATGTACTCGGCATGGTGGGAGGCAACCATTCAAGGACTAAATGCTGAAAAGCTGCGGCTGGGAAGGCACATGTCTAGTGATGCAGCGGAAGGCCTTGGTGAGATGTGGGCATGTCTGCACGTGGTGGAAACAGGAACCAGCGGAGAAAGCATTGCGTTGTTTCCTTGGGACTGGTTTTCCCAGCACATATTGCCCTACAGCTCTTTCCTTACCCAGAGACCTGGGATGGGTAAACAGGCTTGTCGTGGAAGGACCAAGCACACTGGACCAGTCTGGACAGTGAATTGTAGCTCTGGGTGTGGATAATAAGGCCTGGGAGTAATATGGTCACCGTGGAGAAGGTTAGGTCACAGGCAGTATGGCCGGGAAGACCAGCTTTGACCACAGATGCAGAAAGTAACACAAAAAGGAAGGAATGTCCAGAATGTACAGTCATTACACCTAGAATCAGGTGACCTTATCAACCCCAGGGTTGGGCCAGGAAAAACAAAAAGGAAAATGGGGGTGGTGGTGGCAGGGAGTGCAGAGGACAAAGGCAGAAATAGAGGACAAACTAATGACCAAGGTTGGTGGCCTGGCGAGTAAAGCTTTTGGAATGGAGTGAATGCAAAGGGAGGCTACAAGCCTGTGCAAGGACTGTGGCATGAGGGACCAGGTTGGCCACAGTTGCGGTTATAGAAGCCTGAGCTGTCTCCCCGATAAGTGGAGCTTGGTGGGCAGAGCGAAGCTGGCATTTATGTGCATGCAGTGGAAACGTTTGCACTGACTGTGTTGCCAAATGTCTGTCTGTCTGTCTATCCATCCATCTAATCCATCTAATCTTTCTATCTACCTACCATCTGTCTATGGTCTGTCATTTATCCATGTATCCATATATCCTATCTATCTATCCATCTATCTACAATCTACTGTGTATTACCTAATTATCCATCTATGTATCTACCATCTATCTACTATCTACCTACCATCTATGTACCTATCTATCCTATCTATCCTATCTATGTATCTACCCTAGTGCAATTTCTTATTATCAATATATGAACCTGAAGTGGACTGAAAAACACTGTCTGAAAAGAAATAACTGAAGTGTGGGTTCTCAAGGCCAGTTGGGTGACAGTAGTTGTGGAAAAGGTTGCTTTACAAATGACTTCTCAGTCGGGGACCACATTCATTCCCACACAGGACAAGGTGAGAGTCCTGACGTTCAGTGAGCATCGTGCCTAGACGTCCTCAGCCTCGCAGTGAGAATGAGCTGGGCAAGGGGCTGCTGTGCACACACGCTCAATTAGCGGGAGCCTGAGAAAGTAGAGGGCAATTCAGATTACTGGATGCCAAAGCTGGTTAATTGTTATTAGGACCCTAAATATTTTAAAAGTTATAGAGTTCTGAATTGAAGGAAAGGATATCTGAACGATCAATAGGGATAATGCAGGAGGCCCATGCTACCCTAACTTTCCACTCCCACTTTATTTATTCAGGGTTGTAACACTTCTAGCTATTCCAAAACTATTGACTTTTTTTTTTTTTTATCATGGGTCTGGCAAACAGACAAAAGACTATATGTGATATCACTCTAATGATTCATCTTAAGAATCTGTGAACTGTGGAATCATGATTGTTAGGACTGAGAGACACCTGCTCACCTTTCTGAAATGAGGAGCTGAAAAGATATTCTGAGATTCAGAAAGGGTAAGGGATACAATGTTGACCTTTCAGAGACAGGAAACCTTTGATGAACTATAGGACATCAAGACAGTTCATTTAAAAGATGGTTTCAAAGCATTATCCAGGGATGCCTTAGTGGAGCTCTTGGGCTCTCTTTTTACATAAACCCAGAAAGTAATGGTCTTTACAGCTGTTCCTGTGTTGGCAGCCCTCATGTGACACCTTGGCTTCTGGGCCGTGTAACTGCTTTCTGTCTCTTTTGTGGGCAAAGTTAAATTTTTCCATACCATTTGACAGCATGGAACCTTCTTGAGATGGGCTGCTAACAAGAAAAGAGAGAGGCAAAGGTCACCAAACCATCCTCGTGTAATTAAGGCGATGCAAACAGTGCAACAAAATGATTGCCGATGACATTGACTTGGTTCTGTAACAAGCATTACTTTTCTGGTCTGGGAAAGTTAAGGGTCTGCTGCCCATAAGATGTAAAGACTGTAGGTCTTGGTTTTAAATAACGCTGTCGATACTTTGAAATGCTTTGTAAATACCTTAAAGGAGAGGTTTACTGATTTATTTCAGGGCTGTGTTTAGGCTCGCTTGTTTTTTTCTCTATGTATGTACATGTACAGATGTACAATTAAAATGTACCCACATATATACATACAGGAATATCTGTGTATATGAATACAAGCACACACACACACACACACACACACACACACACACATTTTGTTGGTTTGTTTCACTTGGTGGTGGTACTGAGGGACAGAAGCCAGGGCTTCAGGCATGCTAGGCAAGCGCTCTACCCCTGACCCATGCTCCTGGCATGTTTAAAATTAAAGTACAAACAGTGAAAAAGAAAAATAGATCCAACTTTGACTTATAGACTGAGATTGGTCACCTGCTAAGAGATAGCACTCATGAAGGAGCCAGATTGTCTTTTCTTAAAACTCTGTGTTTTTTGATCATGGAGATTAGGCAGAGGGCCTTTATGCTGAGCTACATCCCAGCCTTGCACCCTGCTTCCTCAGCTGGAGGGGTGGGGTTGCAGGCACACACAGGCGCTCATTAATTTCTTACAGAGCGGACATGCAGTATAATCAGAGCCTTTAAAAATGTTTTAGTGCTAGCTGCAGAACGAATGAGATCATCTAGACACACATGAGGATGTCACTACTTCAAAAATGCTGAGCTTAAGAGCTGTCAAGATAGCTCAGTACAATAAGCACCTGCTTAGGCAAGCACAGGGACCAGGGTTTGATCCCCAGTACAGCATGCTGCACCGGCCCCACTCCTGGGTGCGCTGAGCTGGCCATTGAGACCAGGTGTGGTGGTGCATACCTGTAATCTCAGTGCTGGGGAGGCTGAAAACAGGAGGATTACTAGGAGTATGAGTTGCATAGTGAGACCCTGTTGCCAAATACATGAAAATTTTAAAAATGCTGAAATTAAGCTTAACTGAAAATTTACACCAGTAAGAGTAAGTCCCACTCTTGCACTGCATTTATGAGGCATGTTATTATTTGGATTCACAGCAGATAACAGTAATAGAGACACCAGGGGTCATGCACCCTCTTGGCCTTCCATGCTAGCAGAGGGGACCAAGAAATACTAATTCCGTATTCTAGGATGTGAGGTGCAACTCCAGGTCTGAAGGAAAAGTGGAAGGGAAAGGGATGCAGCATGCAGGTGCACGTCAGGGGATGCCTCCTTCAGGAGGGGTGGCTGTGCGCCTCCGTGTCACCTCTCCGACAGCGGAAGAATGGGTCTTGGCAGCCAAAGGGCTGCATGTGTCCTGAGGATCTGAGAAATGATGCTGAGGGGAGGCAGGAAAGCGCAAGGCATCAGAGTTTGGAGTATATAGTGAGAGGCTGAGAAGCTCTCTGTGAGAGGTGCTCCCTGTCCATCATCCCTCTCGAAGGACTTCCTGACAGCTGGAGCCAGCAGCCCCTTCTCTGGGTTCCTGTGAGCTTTAGTACATTTCCAGCACTGGATTTCTCACCGTAATTTAATTCTGCAATTCTGTATTTGTCTGCAAGATAACCAAAGTCAGGATGACCTCGCAGTTATCACCATAAAACCAAGAAACTAGCAGGTGCTCTGTAAATGTTTATTAAACACATACACTGATAACTCGCCGGCTGGATGAGCATCCGGTTATGGACAGCTTGGGGAGAGAAAGCCAACCATTGCCTTGGTTATCACGCAGCAGTTCATAAAACCTTAAGGGTTTCATTTTTCTGTTTCAGATTACTAGCGGCGTACAATAGCCTGACTGATAAACACCTGGCTGGATATTTTAACAATACCAGGATAAGGAGGCATCTCTTAAGATCAGGGCTGGTAAGATTTGTTTTATTTTCCACCCACTTTCTTGTTTAGGTTCAATACTTTCCAACCTCTTCAGGTTTCCTCTTTGAGCTAGTGGGTGATATCTTTTTTCCTATTCATTTCAGAAAAAAATTGCTCCTTTCCAAAGTTCTGATTTATTTATTTGAGGCTATTTCAAAAGTGAGAAAGAGGTCACAATCACAACTGAGGAAACATAAATTATTGAGGAGGCGCCTCTATTCGCCTTCCACAGCACAGTTCATTTGCTTATTCATTCATATATTCAACGCATATTTATTGAATGCACTTGAGGAGCCAGAAACTGTTAGAGAATGAGGACAGAGAAAACTTTATTACCTTTGGAAAAAAATATTGTTTTTAATAATAACAGAATATGGTGTGGAAAACATGAACAGTTCAACATTTCCTCTTGAATTTTTTTCCACTCTCATTTCCTGTGATAGTTTATTGATACGTTAGCATCTTTCACTAGCTGCAAATCTGTGCTGCCCACAAAATTTCCATTCCTCTAAATGTATATGAGATGGAAATCTTTAAAAATTACAGTCGATTTCCACTGAAAGGGGGGAGTGCGGTTACGGAAGGCGTTAGCTATTTACTTCCTCTTTTACAACACAGTGGATTTTCTTAACAGTTGCTGCCTCAGTGTTGAAAGAACACGCCTTGTGTTTTTTATTGCTGTGTGCATGTGCGTGGCAGTCCAGCCGGAGAGATCTCAGAGTGCTTGCTTCCTGTCTCCCGGGGCTTTGTTATCTGACTGAGCTGGTTGAAACGCAGCTTGCCATTAACAAGACAGAGAATCTGGAGCAAACAATTTACTTAACCCCTCACCCCCACCTTCCCCAGTTGTGAAAGGAAGACTGAGACGCCCAGCCCTCAGCATTGTTCGGACCACTAAAGATTTGCTACAAATGGAGTCATCATGGCTACTACTCACATTGCTTCTGGGGGACAATGAGCCCCCCCCCCCCAAAGTCCAATGAGCTTTGTGTGTAAATGGCAAAGGTTTTGCATTTACTCGTCGCCATTATTAACGAGCACTTGCTGGCTTCCAGTTCCATGCAGGCCCTCTCACAACAGGAGGTTTTGGCCATTTCTCTAGAGCAGTGGTTTAAACATAACCCTCAGCAGCGTTCAGCCTCACCCGGGACCTTGTTAGGGAATGCAAATACAAGACCACTAACCCACGCCCGTGGAATTAGAAGCCGTGGGCTGGGGCCCATTGATCTGTTCCTCTTGTGCTCTCCAAGCGATTCTGGTCCAGGTTCAAGTTTAAAAACCTCTGCCCTGTAGGAGCTTCTAGTCTAACTAGGGAAATCAGACAGAATCTGGAGAAGAGATGACAAGGACACAGTAACTGCCGATGGAATGGCAGTTGAAATTCTAGAGATTGCAACTGGGATGTCATTTTAATCATGCTTTTTATGACCTGTAACTTTCTTTCATTGGAAAATAGGTATATGCATACACTGTATATAATATATATTCATATATATGTGGGTTATTAATAGCTAATTGTAACACAGTTAATGTTACTGTGTTACTCTGGTTAATCTCAACAGTAATATTTTTGCAAGCAAACTTTTTAAGAAAATGAAGAATAAATATGTGGCTTGGATTACTATAAAAGAAGAGCAGGGCTTATGTACATGGAAAAGGTCAATAATCAGAAAGAATAACACCTCTTCTTATAGGAGACATAGAAAAATATACAAATATGCCCAGGGGAAAGAGTAAAAAAAAATTACACAAAAACAAAGTGGTACTCTTGGGACACGCGATGATATGAATCGAGACTAACACCAAATACCTTCTATCTAAAGTATGGTGTGATTTGTAAAATACTAAAGCACAACAAATTAAATTACATTGTGGGCTGGAGAGTAGAGGAAAAAGCAGTAGGACAACAAAGTAATGACACCAATTATTTTTAAAAACAAGCTGGTGAGATCCTCTGTAGCTGGCCTGGTTTGTGCTTCAAAGCCTTGTCTGCACACTCCTCAGGCCTGTGATTGGGGCTCCTGCTCCCCCCTTCAGGTAGCCCAGCACTCCCTTCTTCCCTGAGCGTGTTCACAAAGAGACATGAAAAGAACACCTGGGTTCCATCAAGGGGAAATTGTTCCTCTAATGAAAACCTTTTTTAAACATCAGGTGCACCACCTGTATGTGTTTTCACAATGATGGGTATCTGAGACTTCCTTTCTCCTTTTTGCCTTATGAAATATTCATTGAAAGCAAAAGTTGATCAACCATAATGGTGTGCTCCTTTAGGCTTGGAAGATACCGTCACGCTCTGTTCCCTCCTCTCTCTCTTTCAGCCTCTCAGTCTTTCTCTCCCTGCCTGCTCTTTTTGATGACTGACCACTAATATTCTACTGTGTATTTCTGTTTATTGGTTACAGATCACAAGAAGTGGAAGGATCCTCTCTGAGAAGGAATACAAACTAAATATAATGAAAAGAGATCATCAGAAATATATTCGGGAGTGTTTAGCCCAGGCCATTTTCCATAAAGTTCTTGATATGGAGGTACAACTGTGTATGATCACTTTCCTTATAATTGTTGATTTATAATATGACAATTAATAATGCTTCTGTACCCAGGAGCAGAGAACTCTTCCTGTATTTCATGAAAAAATATATAGAGCCCAGTAACTTAAGTAGTACTCTTTATCTAGGTAGGCAGGAGCCAATAGACTAGAGTAAGCTTTTCTCTATTTCACTTGGGAAAAATATGGACACTATAATATATTTTGTGATATTTAATTTTCTAAATGTAGATTTTTAATCTACAATGGCTACTCTGAAACATACTAGCCCTCACCATCTGTGCCTTAATTTCCATTTGCTAAAAAAAGTGACATCTGTTTAAATATCAGTAATTCCACTGCCATGAATTATTTCAGATCTGTTATTCTTTTAAGGCTTCGAAGCTCAGCCGTATGTTAGGTTTCAAGGAATAGGCATTGAAACATCTGCTGTCCCTCCTACTTGAGGCCACATTGGTCAACGTAGATTTACAGCCCAAGCATCAACCATTTTTTTTTTATCAGACATGGCATTTTTAGTGGGATATCTAGCTAGCTCAATAGATTGTTTCAGCCTTGCTCCATGAAACTTGTAGCTTCATCATCAACACCATTTTAATCTCTGTGCAAAAGCATGTCGCTTCTTGGCTTGAACATACAGCAGTAAATCAGAAAACTTGGCTTGTATAGCCACTGACCTGTGGGTGCAGTAAACATTATGAACAACTGTACAATCATCAGTAAACCAATGCTAAGTTTGTTAACACCAAAAATATTTTTATAATGCTGTTATATTGATCAAGTAGAATATTTGCTTAA